CGGCTGACCCACCTGCTGGCTCACCTGGAAGACCCCTGCAAAGGAAGAGGTTCGGGGCTGGTACGATGTTCACTATGGCGCATGTTTGTTGATTTTGAGGTGCTTGAGGGGGATCAGAAAGGAAATTGCACTTGAGGTGTTGGGTTCATGGTCGGAGACCTGGCAGCTTTTAGCCCATAGCTGATGAGAGTCTTGGGAATGGTGCCCAGGTAGCACCTGGAGCTGGGATCGAGGTCTTTCACTCGCTGTCCAGTGCAGATTGCCTGGGCCCCTTCTCGTGTCTCATCCAGGTTTTTCACCCACTCATCCATTCATCCAGCAAGTATTTATTAAGCATCTACTGTGACAGAATCTAGAATAAATGATCAAAGGTTTATGGGTAAATGACAGAGTTCTAAGACCCTCCACTCCATACGCTTTGCCCTAGTGAACAAGCTAATACCCATTTATTGAGCAGCTAGTGTGTAAAAGGCTGGCATAAAACTGTCGGGCTACATTTGCTAAGAGGTTATTCAACACATGGGAGCAGCCAAGCAGTAGCACCATTCCACACTGTCAGTGGTTCTCACGTCCTGAGTGCAGCCTTGTCTGAGGCTGGCTGCATGAGAATCACCAGAGAGGCTTTTACAAATCAGCATTCCCCGGCCCCAACCTAGCGAACTGACTCTTTCAGAGGTTGGTCCCCAAAATCCCCATATACAATTAGTCATGTCTCTATTACCTAACAGGGTTAATCATCAAGCATCTCCATCAAGTCGCAACTCAGACCCTATATCGTAAGCGGTAATTGAATGACCGCTATTTCCAAAGTAGTGGAGGTCAGATTAATAAAGTTTTACTATGAATGTATTCTGAGATCCTTGTATGTCTTTCTAGAAACTTCAGACTTGCTTAGTTTACAGGGCTGTTTGGCCAAAGATCAGTGGTAGGGTGGGGTGGAAGCTCTGTGTGCCCCAGAGGTGAATCTGGAAATCAACTTAGCATCTCTCTATACAGTACCACCTAATTTATAGTATATCTCAGCAGTTCCCTTAAGCATGGTGCCCAGACCAGCAGCATCAGTATCAACTGAGAGCTTGTGAGACATTCTTGGGCCCCACGCTAGACATGACCTACTTTGTCAAAACTCTGCAGGTGAGGCCCAGGAACCTGCTTTAACAAAAACCCTCAGGTAGTTCTGATGTGCTCTCAAGGGTGAAACCCACTGGCTTGTAGAGTAGAGGTCAGCACATGCTGGCTGGGTGAGTGTTCCTGAACCAGGTCTCATCTGCTGGTGCCCAAGGCAGCAGCTTCTCTGACTTCGTCAGTTAGGGACAATGACATCCCAAGCCTGGGGTCCTCGTGCTATAGGAAGGTAGCACTTCTGATCCTGTTTGTGTGCTCCGAGGTTCTTTTAACATCAACACCAAGAGGTCTCCTCGATGGGATTACGAGTTCCATTTAGCCAGAAAAGCAAATGAATGGACTTCATAGAATTTGGACCCTTGCCCTCAGTTCAGTCCTTGTAAGCAGCTGAGCACCTTGCAGTTGCTTCAGAGCAGCCATTGCCCCACACTCCCTTTGTCTAACAGGGCATGGGCAGGTTTCTCTCACTTGCCAGTAGTCCCGAACCTGCTGGAAACCCATGAGATGTTTTGGATCCTGCCACTTTGTCCAATTTCCTTCCAGCTGTCTCATTTTACACTTTATTTGCTGAATTAGCACATCGGTGCCATTGAAGTTCAAAAGCCACAGCATGGTGTCTGCTCAGCATGTGCTGATACTCAAAAGGCTGGGCTTCAGTCATGTTTCTATTTATTGTGGCCTACGTGGGCCTCAGAGAGGCAGAGAGAGGAAAAATTCAGGATCCCTCCTGCACAGGTGAGGACTAAGGTGGAACCAGTTACTTTTTTCTTGTCACATCATTATTTAGAAATAACCTAAACAAATTCATTCAAATGACTTAATCTTTCTTTTGAGGCTGGAAAAATTTTGCAACAAAATATGTTTAACCAAGGAAAAAGTTAGAAATGCAAATAAACCTAAAAAGGGAAATAAGTATCAGCAGTAATGCTGTCATCCTAAGATAACCGCTGGTTTTAAACTTGTTTTTCCATTTTTATGGCTGTGTGACCTTGGGAGAGTTGCTCAGCCTTTATGAGCCTCATTTTATTTCCCCCATCTACAGAATATCTCCTTCAGTTTCATGTGTTTG